GCCAGAAGTCGTGTTGAGCAAGGTTAGTGTTCTCTCTCTTCGTACTGTATTTTGTTTCATATTTTTGCGGTTTAAAAAAAAAAAACATATGGTTCAGAACTGATTAACCGTAATTACATTGAACCTTATGGGGAAATTTGATTCAGGACGTGACCAAAATCGGGTCGCGACCAAATTTGGAGGGGTCAAAACGGATTAACCGTATTTACACTGAACCTTATGGGAAAATTTGATTCGGGTCACGATCAATTCGGGTTGTGACCAGAGTCGCGGAACTAATTAAGTTCGTGAACCGAGGTACCACTGTACCTTTATACATTCTAGACAATTTCTCTGGTGACGTATACCAACGGTACATCATTTTATAAAATTTCTCTTTAAGTTTATAACGTCGTGTAAATTTCAGTTCTTTCAGCCACATTATTTTCCCATTGTTCCATCTGTAACCAAAAGATTTAGCCCACTTTATCATACATTCTGTCACTCCTTCTTCTGTTTCAAATTTCAATAAAAGTTTCTACATTTTAGTAATTACATGTTCATCATTTGTACATGATTCTATTTCAAAGTTAGTCTTACAATGTTCAGAGCCATGAATTTTGTCTACTTTAAATCTTTCTAATAACTGTAAATAAGAGAACCGTTGACCACTATATGCCTCTGCCACTAGTTCTCTTGATTTTATTTTGTATTCCCCTTGACAAAATTCTAGTATCTCACGATAAGTTAGCCATTTGTGTTTACCTATCATTTCTCGTCTATAAAATGCTTTTGCTGAGATCCACAAACGTGTTTTTGGGCACAACCTGGGTTACTCTGTGTGATTTATTCTGCGGGCATAGCACTGTAGTCATTCCTACCACTCATTCCAAAGTGAATGCAGATGTGGAATCCCAGCCAGATTCGTTTTGGCAGTAAAAAGAATCTGAGAGTTTGATGCGATGCAGTTATGGAAAAGCTGTTCTCAACAGCAGAGAAAGCAGAAGTGAATCTGGAAAGAAAAAGTTTAATGAGAAGGACCGAGGTTTGCTAAGAAGCTTTAATCATAATAGTTAATCAGAACTGTACATTTCAATCCTATACATAATTTTGCAATTATGGAAAAGCTGTTGTCACAGCAGAGAAAGCAGAAGTAAATCTGGAAAGAAAATGTTTAATGAGAATGACAGAGGTTTGCTAAGATGTTTTAACTAAAACGGTTAATCAGAACTGTACATTTCAATCCTATGCACAATTTTGTTGGGATTTATCTGCTAGTTACCATGGACAAAATCATTTAATAAATGGACTATTAGCATTGCTAATGGTCAAGAAGGTGGTGGCATTGCAGCTCCAGCAGATCCTGGATGAAACACATTATCTGGACCCTTTTCAGTCAGGTTTCAGGCCTGGATATGGTCTCACTCATGGATGATCTCTGGTGGGAGTGGAATGGGGGGTAGTGCATCCATCCTTGCTCTTCTTGACCTCTCAGTAGCTTTCAGTACCATCAACCATGGTATCCTTTTGGGTTGACTTGGGCAGTTAAGAGTGGGTGGCACAGTTTTGCACTGGTTCATCTCCTTCCTCCAAGGCCAGTCCCAATCAGTGTTGATTGGGAGCGAGAGGTCCAGCCCTTGGCCCCCCCGTTGTGGGGTGCTGCAGGGTTCGGTACTCTCTCCACTCCTTTTTAACATCTACATGAAACCACTGGGTGAGATCATCTGTCACCATGGGAAGAGGTATCATCAATATGCAGATGATACCCAATTATACATCTCCATTGGGTGACTTGAGTGATGCTGTGACCACTCTTTTGCAGTGCTTGGATGCTGTGGGGGTCTCAACGGGGTGCAACAGGCTTCAGCTGAACCCTGGTAAGATGGAGTGGCTGTGGATTGGAGGTCCCTCTATATCCGGGGGTGTAATCATCTTTGGTTCTGGACAGGGTTGCACTACCCCAGACAGACCTGGTGTGTAATCTGGGGATCCTCCTGGACTCACAAGTCCTGCTTGAAGAGCAGGTGGCAGTCATGGCCAACTTTGCTCAACTTCATGTTGTGTGCCAGTTATGCCCCTTCCTGGATCAGGAGGCCCTCCAGTCAGTCACTCATGCCCTGGTCATCTCTTGTTTAGACTATTGCAATGCACTCTACATGGGGCTACCCGTGAAGAGTATCTAGAAGCTACAGCTGGTTCAAAATCTGGCTGTGAGGGCAATTTTGGGTACCCCAAGGATGGCACATGTAACACCTTTGCTGTGGGAGCTGCATCGGGTGCCTGTTTGCTTCCGAGTCCAATTCAAGGTGTTGGTTATCACCTTTAAAGCCCTACATGGCATGAGTCCAGGTTACCTGAGGAACCATCTCACCCCCATCACATCGACCCATCCCACCCAGTCAGGCAGAGAGGGCATGTTGCGGACAGACGGCAAGAGAATGTTGACTGGTGGGGCCCACGAGGAGAGCCTTCTCTGCTGTTGCCCCACCCTATGGAATATTCTCCCCGCAGAGATGAGGCAGGCCCCCACCCTCCTGGCTTTCCAGAACGAACTGAAGACCTGGCTCTGCCAACTCATGTGGGGCAAGAAGTGATATAACCAACCCTGGGGTTGGCTGGCACCTTGAAGACGCTCCCCGAGCCTAATAATTTTTAGTTCACCATCAATATCTTGGAAGATATTTATTATTTGTAGGAATATTGTTATACTGTATTTTAATTAATATTTATTCTTTTACTGTAAATCGCCCAAAGTCGCTTCCAGTAAGATGGGTGGTGACAAATGTGATAGATAGATAGATAGATAGATAGATAGATAGATAGATAGATAGATAGATAGCAGCCTAAATTAAAAAATTTCCAAAGCCAGCAAAACCCTGGCTTAGTGTAATGCATAGCTACAGCCAATGTGACATACTTCTGAATAAGTATGCTTAGGATTAGGGTGCATGATTTAACTCCTTGGTCAGAGAAAATAAATCAGATTGACTTAGCTGAAACAGGGAAGATCTTTTCATCTTTTTTTTTTTTTAAATCCCCTCCTATAAATCAAAAACCACTTTTTGTTGTTGTTCAGAAAGGGGATGCACAAAAGATTATGTTTTTCATGAAGAGTGAGATAGGCTGATCTCAGAAAAACTTACCAGGATCAAATCTGACTAGGACTTGGATGAAAAACCATCCAGGGATAGACTAGGAACTCAAAACAGCATCCTAGATGAAAGTACTGGCAAACCACCTGTGTATTGTTGTCAAGAAAACTACTTGGATGTGTTCATGAAATCACCAGGAATCAAGCCTGACTTGAAGAAGACTTAACCTTTGAGGAATCATTGGCTGTACTTAACACAGATCCACCAAGGGTGTTATTTGTAAAGCTTATGCAGAGTTAGGTCACTGCCTCATATTCTTACAGCGATTCATCATATTAAAACTAGAGTCAAATCTAATTTGCTGCTCACTGCCATATGTCTCCATTCTTCTTATGAGATCCCTGATTGCGAGGAAAGTCATAGTAAGAAGTGTTAGCATCTCAGTTGATCTGAAGAGGTGCTCTCTATTCAACTAACCACACAACAGCTGAAACAAATACTTACCTTTTATTCCAGCTTTTAATAAACTGTTTATGGGTGATTATGATATTTTACAACAGCAGGGTAGTAAGGGTCAAATTTATACATTATACATTAATACAATATTTTGGTATTTCTGTTGGCAAAAAAATGCTTGAAGAGGTACCAGAGATCTGGGCTGCAAAAATCAGGATGACCTCTAGAAAGAAACAAAGATTTAAGAGTTTTCTGTGTTGCTCTATTGCTATTTACTGGCTGCCTGGAATACTGCAGCCCTGTAAAGTAAGATTCTTGAAAAAAATGTTTCCTGTGTTCCTTAGTAGATTCAGTCTTCACTGGGCTTGTAGAGTGTTCTACAACCGTGGGGGGGACGAAGAGTTTCTCAAGTCCTGTAGTTACATTCAGAGACTAGTAGATTTTACCCCAAATCCAAAAGTATTATACTTTGACCAAAAGAAATCTTAACCCTTTCAGTAACAGCAGTGTTTTTGTAAAAATTGTTGAAATGTATTAAGGCCTCTTTCTGAAGCAATTGATGAGCTGAATATAAATTCTTTTCAAAGTAAGAAGCAACTTCCTTTATTTTACAGGGGATATAAGGAGTATAAAGCTATATACAGTTATCTATATTTATTCGTATGCTGCCCTTCAAAAACAGTTTCCCTGGACCAGTTTACAACAACAGACCTCAAGGATAGCAAAATGCAGATCAACTTTTTGCCAAGAACAGCTGTTGCTCTGTTGTACAATCAAATGCTCTATTCCACATTCCTCACTTCCCCTTTGAATTCTTTGGAAAATTGATCACTCTAATGCCTGGAGGATCAGGCAGAAAGATTTGTTGTATAAAGAATGCAGAAAGGAAACTTAACAGCGAAAGCAAAGGAGGGAGTTCACATTGTCTCTTCTGTTCCAATTTATGGCCACACAGTCTATTTGTCACCCATTCAGACAACAAATCCTCGATTAGCACTATAGCTAGTTACAAGGAATAGGGACTTCATCTGTAAGTAATTCTTAACCATGTAAGATATTTCTTTCTAGTATTCCTGGTTTTATTATTCCCAAATTAAGGCCAAAGTAGTGGATAAGGCTTATTTAAAAATATATTATCCAACTGTCACAAGACATACAGTGCAGAAATGAAAGCGCCAGTCCATAATCCAGTCCTTTATACCCTGTGTTTCTCCAAGGTTTTAGGGAACAGCCTTAACCATCACTGCTACCTGAGATTCTTTGAATTGGAACAGGGGTAGTCTAAGTGGTACCTAAGACATCTCCTGTCCTGGACACTACTCTTGGTGGGTGCTTTAAAAAAAAAAAGAAAAAGGAAACTGACATGTTGCAAAGCAAGGTGCCAGCTTCGAACACAGCATTTATTTGCTACAATACCGTCAGGCCCACGAAGGAAGAGATCATCTCAGTAATTTTGTGAACAGGTGATCTGCCCAGGGCAGCTCATTCTTAAGGGAACTTGAACCAAAATTCCAAATGTGCTGCTGACCCAAAGAACTGTCGGTTTCTGCCATATGGCCTGCATTTGCTGGGTCACAAAAATGGCACAAGTCTGAAATACAACCGTTACAGATGTTAACATGAACCCAGCTGAAAAAGCACTTGTGCCATCCCTCATACGTTAAAAAGAAAGTTGAACTTCTGATCTGGGAAAAAGGATGAGCAGCTCCAGGAGAGGAAATGCTGCTGCTGCTGCTGCTATTCTTTTCCCATAACCTTCTTCTTCTTCTCAATCTTAAGGTACTTAAGAAGCACATTTTAGTGCAAAGTCCATGTGTCCCTCCACATTCTTGAAGAAAAGATGCATCAGGCTCACGTGAGACAGCAAGATCAGGCATTTGCCAGAGCTCCAGGGCCAGCATTGGACACCCAGGAAAAGTGCAGGCCATGTGAAGCAATGCTCAGTTTTGCTGGAGTCTGCCTCCCTCTCCTAAATCCTGGCACTCTCGTTGGTTTTTTCTTCTTCTTCTTCTTTTTCTGGGAAATGGTGCGTGCTGCCAGGGCAACAAATATGTGGGCTTTGCTGGGAAGAGCTCTCTTTCACAGATAAGGCTTCCACGTCTTGCCATAGCGCTGACTGCATCTGCCTCCCTTAATATATAAGGAGCATGGCTGGCTACAGATAGTTCCTGCCTAACGCAAGCTGATTAAGAATCCAGGAAACATGGCGGAAATACATCGCATTGTGTTTGGGATGATCGGTAAGAGTAACCTCAAGTTTTGGAACTGTAGAAATAAAACAGAAAAAATCTCACAAGGAGGTTTGAAAAAAAGCAAAGGGCCGCTATGCTGTGCCAGACGAGCAAAGGTCAGTCAATCTAGACCCAATCCATTAGTTGCTTACTTCCAGGAAGCAGGGCAAAGGAAGCTCAGCTGTGAGATAGGTGACAAGTTAAACTTGTAAGGGAAATTCAAGTTAAAATGGGCTGCATGTGTATCTGACCACAGGGAGATCAAAGCTGGCATTTGGTCTTGGAGATTCCTCTGTGCTGTTTCAGCCAAATGCCAAAGCATTACTGACCCGTCACAGACTGTTCTAGCCTCACCTGCAGAATCATTTTCCCCGACTGCCTGGCATCCAGACCTGCTTACGTGTTACCCCTTTCTTCCTTACTGACTGGAGGAAGGCCTCCCCATCTTTCTCCCTTCTGGAAAGAAGTCTGCAAACTAATCCTGTTGAGATGGGTCCTAATTGAACAGCTGTTGGGGACAGCTGGCAATAACCTGCCAATCCGATGGACAAGGATGCAGCAGAATGCAGGAGAGGGCAGAAGAATTACTGAATGCCTTCCAGAGCAAGCTCACTATAGAGAAATCTTACTGCGACCCAAAGTTGCAGTCTTTTTATCTGGGGACAACATGCTTCAGTCGGGGACAACATGCTTCACACAGATGGGCTGCAAATACATGCAGCTCTCCCTGGATTGCATCTGTTGGTTTGAATGCACTTGGTTAAGTCTGCTGGGGATTGATGGCGAGACACGCAGCCTGCCCAAAATGGTGTGTGCTTGTAAAAGATATTTATGTGTCAGAAATGAGCCTAGTTCAAACATAAATCCTCCCTCCCAGAGTTGTTTTTTAGATCTAGTGTTTGATATTAATTATAAAAAGATTCGCTTCTTCTTAAGAGTCCCCAGATGTGCTTGTAAGAAGGGACCAAAAAAACTCAAGGAGCGACCACTTCACGGTATGTATACATCCCAGCTGTTTTCTGAGCAAACAAACTCAGAAGCAGCCTTGTCCATCTGAACAGCAGATGCCAGGGCCTTCTGGCCTGTTACACTTCAGCATGCTGAGTTCTCCTCTCCCCAAATGATCTTTCATTGCAGCATCAAAACAAACAGTCTGCTTTCTAAGACTTTCCCTTGTTGACGGTCATAAAAATATGCAGTGGTCTCTCCCCCACCTAACTCCCGTCAGCAGCATTCTCTTGACTTTCCAGGCAGGATGAAAAACACTTAGATCCTGTAGCCCTTTCCTTGGGGCAGAGGGAGGAAGGGAGGAGAAGGAAAACAGCCCTCTTGGCAGGATCTTTGGGTGTGAGAAGCAGGAAAGGCCAGAGGTCAAAAGGAAATCTGTCTACTTTTACTTTGCTGAATATTCCTGCTGGTTTCAGTTATCATACAAAGCATCGCTTTTAAGGGCAACACTGTAATGAAATTAACCCTTTCACTTTATCCAAATGCCACCCATGGCCTTTGCAAAGAGACCTTCTGTGTAGCTCCTGGTCAACCCCTCTCTAGTGGGTTATGGAACTATTCCTTACCCACCCTCTCTTTCAAGGCGCAGGGCAGTGGTGTGGGAGCCAAAAGAAAGCTTGATTTGCTGTGGTATGGGCAATACTTTTCCTCCTACCTGCAAATGATAGGCCTGAGTAATACTATAAAACCTGATTGCCTCCGCATCTTTCACACATGCATTCGTAACTCTTCCTTCATGTCCTCACGGGCAACCAACAACAGACATGGTATTCTTCTTATGTACAATCTCTAAAAGGATTCTCTAAAAAGTAATGTCTTTGGAGCAGATCCCCCAACCTCCTCTCCTTCCCTGCATCTCCTGTGTGGCCCTCTGCTCCTTGGTCTCTTTGGCGGTAGATAACGCAGGCTGCCTTAGCATCCTCTTCCTTCAGAGAAAGGCACAGCAGCTGGTCCGCCTCTTCTCCGACTCAATGTAGTCATGGATTTGGAACCTGGGCTCATCCAGCTGCTTCACAGCTCGCTGCTTGAGCTCTCTGGAAACCAAACAGTCAAAACGCTGCTCAGAAACTATTTTGGAAGGAGGAACTCTTCCTCTCACAGAAAAGTTCTTCTGGGCTTCTAGGAGCAGATTTCATCTTTCGTAAAATGCAGCACCCAAAGTAAGCATGCTGAATCTTTACCCTCACCTCTGTCCAGAAATAGATGCAACTCATGACTCCTTCCTACTCTGCCATGACCTCAAAAACCAGCTACACCATTCCCTGGATGTTTCGTTCTAACACAAAGACTATGAAGAGTTCCAGAAAGAACACATCAGATTGTGTAAGTGGGCAGTAGAAGGGGAGAGGAGATTTGATAAGATAGTGCTGTTTGTGAACCATCCAAGATGAATGAAATCTCACTGAAAACCTCAGAAAGGTATGTAATTTTGGTTGCCCAATTTTAAAAAAAAAACCCACCTCTGCCAAAGGATTGAATAATTCTCTGATTCGGATACTTGTGAGAATTCCTTACATTTTTGAAGGTTGAGCCTTATTTAGCCTCACCTCTGGCAGTCAGCCTCAAGTCTTTTCTTAATTTAAGAAAGTCCAAGGCAACCCATCGATCACTTCTCTTGGGTGTTCTGAGCCCATCTTTCCCAAGGATGCTCTCCAGATGCTTTGGATGCTAATTCCTATCAGTCCCACCAGTATGGCCAGTGGTCTGGACATTATGCTCCAAAGCATCTTAAGGGCACCAGCCTGAGTCCTGGAAGAGCTTGATAAAATGAAAGCAAGAGGACTCAACATCTCCAGATGCTGTCATAATCCCAGGGATTGAAGGCAAACTACCTGCAGCCTGTTACTCACTTTGCAATGGCTAGAAACGCCAGTTCCACATTCATACCGGTCTTGGCACTAGTCTCCATGAAAGGTACTCTGTATTCCTGGAATGAAAAGAGAGCACAAAAAGTTGTGAGATCTTGCCAGCAAACCCAATGAATCCTTTTTGCATTCTTGTGCTGGCACCTTAACAATAGCTCTGGAACCATAAAAATACCAATTTGTAAAGAGGGGGTGAAAAATCTCGCTATTTGGTTCAGTTAAGAAGATGATTCAGGACACACTCTGCTCTGCATGAAAGGGAGGAGATACTTGCCAATAAGGCTGGCTTTTTCTGAAATTAGGCAGAGGTCTTTGGATCATCTACCCCAGCCATGCTGTGAGACAGTCACCCTTGTACTTGTTCACTTACCCTAGCTAATGATTCCCCATCTTCTGTTCTGATAACTCGCTCACTGCTCACATCAGCCTGCAGACAGAAAGGGAGTAAGGGTGGGGAGGAGTAAGGAAGATATGCTGAAGCACACATAATCATGAGATACCCTAGTAGTGTATTTCTATTTTGGGGAGGTTAAAAATAAAGAGTTTCTGACAAAACAAACATTTTAAAACAATCTAGGTGGAGAGAAGAGATGTTTTCATAGATTCTTCCCTAAAGCACCCAACTTACCCCCACTTTGCTTCTTCTTCCAGCTGGTCTTGTTCTAGAATTCCCACTCGAAAAAGAAGAGCACCAGGAAGAAGAGCAACAGAACCAGGCGCCCAGCAGAAGTTTGCTCTCAGGTAACTCTCCCCCGCTCTCCCTCTCCCCCTCTCTCTCTCACTATCCCTACCTCCACCTTTCAGTTTATATGGCCACCCATCTCAAATTCATGACTCTGGGCAGCTAACAGCAGCTAAAAACACCATATAACAACCTATAACAATAAATAATACAGACATAATTGGCAACTGAAGCAAATCACCAAACAACCAACAACAAATCAACACAACACTGCACAGACTCTGTCACTGATAATACATCGCTGACTCCAATTGATTTTGTGTTCAAGAGAGAAAGCCAACCTGTGGATTGCTTCTCTTCTGCCAAGATTTTAATGCTATTTTATTTTATTTTTTAAAAAAGATTTGAATGTTATCTAATGTTTTGGTTATACTGTTGTTTGGTCTACATTCAATTCAATTTGCAATTCAATTTTATGCTGTAAGTTGCCTTGATTATCAAAGAGGAAGAAAGGTGGGTTATCAGTTCAATACATTATTTATGAATGAATGAATGAATGAATGAATGAATGAATGAATGAATGAATGAATGAATTGGTTTTAAGGCCTCCCTATGCAGCACTGAAGCAGCATAGATGCTTGGAGGCCAAAGGGGAAGGGGAGATAACCACACAGATTTCTGCCACAAGAAGAGGCTGGGATGAGGGACAACAAATTGGGGAGCACAAGATTAGTCCTGTGGCAACAGCAGACACCATTGGGGAGTTGTGCTTGTGCCAGTCTGGCAAAAAAATAAAGTTATTTCCAAATTGAGGTTGACTCCTGGTGCCTGACATGGACACATCCTGATGTTCCAAGGCTGATCTGATATTGGCCCTTTCAGCTGTGAGTGACTCTGCATTGAAGACTGACAGACTGGGGGAAAAAGGGAGTGCCTTAACTGTCCAGTGGTTCCAGGGTAGTTCTGGAGGTGTGGAGCCACAGACTCACAGTGCCTCCTGCTGGCTCACCTTGGTCAGTGAAGATGCACACTACAAAAACCCAGCAAATCATTTTCCTGTGTACCTTATCTTCAGTATTATTTTACCACCTCCCCAAAAAATCAGAAATGGACTTTTTAATAAAATGTTTGACCCCATCCAAGAATCCCTAAGATTAAAAAAGAGAGCAATATCCCCCTGTGTTTACTTTCTGTTTTTCTTGCTTTTCTATGCTTGACATTCCATTTCTCATAACAAGCCTGTTTCGTGCATATCTACCATTCTGCCAAACCAGGGTTGTGGACAATTTTTTTACTGTCAGAGACATATTTCCTCAGACATAATCTGCCGGGAGCACATGGAGGCCAGAGGGGAGGCAAATCCTTAGCTCTGAGACACTGGTTCTCTACACACACATGCAACTCTTTCTCTTACTGAAATGTCTCCTCCTCCCAAGCAGCAGGATTCAAAGAGAGCCCTTAACTTAAGAGATCTCATCTGGACTCTTGTGCAACAATTTTGCAATTACAACACAAAATCCATACTTAAGTCCATGGGTTGCATAATCCCACCCTACAGTATCTGCCATCCCATGTTGTTTCATCTAACCTATTTAATGAATTGATGGCTGTTTTTCACACCACATTCTGGAAAGATGCCCTGAAGAACAATTGTTGCACCTAGGGCTAGCAGATCTGGGCTGCAAAATTTCAGATGATCACAAGGTGGCAATAAAAAGTTGGCAGTTTCGATGTCTCTGATGACCTGATAGACCTGATAACCCGACACACCACTGTTCTGGCAGATGGCAAAGTAGCTTATAACCCACCTGCCATGTAGTCATTATTTACTACCTTTTCTAGGAGCACAGGCGTGGGACCAGGATATCTGCTGCATGCAGCTTGAGTGAAAACAAGGCAGTAGAAACAATGGTGAGATCTGTCCTTATGCTGGGAGAAAAAACACTCCATGGAGTGCCCAGATCCAAAGATGACTCCTGAAGATAATGCCTGGGTGCTCCAGCTACCCCATTGGGTCTTTGCCTCAGCGCTCTTTCTATTTTCCCCTCCTCAAATTTATTCTTTCCTCACCCACTCTAGGCTGTCTCTCCCCTTTCTTTCTTTCTGAAGGGTTTGGCACGCTGCAGAGTAGAGCGCCAATTATGTTCGGCATGTTGATTTCACCGGAATGGCTCTGGGTCCCCTTTGCATTTGCTTTATGCCAGGAACAAGGGCTGCTTCCTCAGCAACATGCCGTGCCTCTTGGAATGTTGTTTTGTTAAAAAAAAAAAAAGTGTTTCCAACTGCATCTGGGGGCCCTATAGACTGCAAAGCCCCCAATCTGCATCGGGTGATCCAACACTTCCCCTAACATATCTGGCCTCTGAGCAGCCAAGGACTGTAGGGTCAATTTTTTTTGCCAGCATTTTTTAAAAACTTTGCGGGGGGGGGCAATTTTGTCTTATATAAACCATGGTTGATTTTTAAACCAACGGTTGCACATTGTCTTTTGAGAGCAAATGGGGTGATGTGCATTGACCCTCTGACATGATGGAAGAGTTGCGTGAAATGACCCTTGGTCTCATGGAATGAGGTAATTAAGGCCGATGTTGTATATCTAACTAGAACTGTCACCTCTTTTAAGGGGAAAAAAGGGAGGACAACCATTTGTTTGGGTGACTTGACTGAAATCATGATTTAAATCAATGCAGAGTTAAAATAAAATGTTAAATCCAGAAAAGCAATCAAGAATGTGTTTGTGGGTGTGTGTATGTATAAATTTACTCAGCTAAGCCTCTTTCAAATAAGCCAAACCTAAGCTCTTCTTCCCAGTCATGGGTATAAACTTTTCAATTTCCTGGAAGGGAGGCAAGGGGCAGGCTGTAGTTGAATAATAGGTGTCTAAAACCCCTCCATATAGCCAGTGAAAATTCAAAAAAAAAAAAAAATAGAAATGGTGCATCAGTCATTTTTAGCACTGCATGGAGAGTTGGAGGATACAGCATCTGAATGAAACCAAGGGTGCCTCAGCTATATGGAAGCACCATGTGTTGAGCTGGTGCTTGCAGTAGTCTGATGACCCCAGTTGGCTCGGCAGCCCAGTCCAAAAGGGGGGCTCTAGGGAATCCTGGTAAAACACAAGCACTGCTGCTCCCCTGAAGTTTCCATCCATGTTCCCAGCAGTCCAAGAGTTAGCATGTCTGCCTCTGTTTTATCTGTCCCACTATTCTTGGAACCATCTATAAATCCTTGTTCACAATACAATCTAATGTCATCCTGCATATTTATTCTCTTGGATATGTCTGCCCTGCGAAAAATAAATGTCCCCAGAGTCTTGCATTTCATGCCATTTTGGCTCCACAGGTTCAAATCTTTTTTTTTTTTTTGATCCCACATCATCTATAAATACCATTTCATGCATTTTGATCTTCTGTTAATGCTTCAGAGTAAGCCTCTGCAAATCATTCCACAAGCTGCTTTTCAGCAACTTTTCCAAGGGAAATGTCATCTGTCCATGCCTCCCAGCAGCTGAACTGAGCTATCAAGCCACTGCTTTGCAGCTTTCAAGAACTGGATCCAAAATCACCTTGTTGAAAGACTGCACAGACCTACTACAGAACTATTGCTAATTCTCAACAAGGCTAGAATACAGCATCTGATCTACTGTTAAGCTGGGGAATATAACTTGCAAAGCAATTGAGAAATATATAGCAGACCTGAGAAAACTCATAATGTTGTATCCAGGAGGAGGAAGCCTCTTCATTCACTAGCCATAAAGCGGAGGTGGCATGAAAAATTCCTTTGTAAAAGGGTTGGGGAACGTATGGCTCTCCAGATGTTGCTGAACTACAAGTTAACTATACTGACTTGGATTTGTAGTTCAACAACACCAGGAAGGTCCAGTTTCCTCAATCCTAGGTTATGAGCTGAACACAGCAGGGAATTATGCAAAGCACACAATGGTAACTGAACATTTCTCACAAGGAGACCATTAAGAACCAAGAAAGATGGAAAGTGTTTGCAGGACAGCACAAATTTGCATTATCTTCGGACAACAGTACATACCTTATTACCTAGAAGCATGACAACCACATCCTTTTGGGCATATTCGTGGATCTCTGTGAGCCAAGCCTGCAAGGGAGTGGGAAAGAAAAATGTTGAATCTTATGAGATGGAGCATAGCTGAGAAGAAACACCGAACGCTAAGCTGTGACTGGGTTCACCCATGCTGCCCTGCCATTTATTTATTCATTTATTAAACAAATGCATGTGGCCGCCCAACTCACACACGGTGACTCCGGGCAGCTTATAGAATAAAAACCCATAATACAAAAACCAAAATCTTGTTGCTTGTTTGCCTTTGCCTTAGTATATTTGCATCAGCTCAGCTACTGTGGTTTGTAAATCTTGGCTTATGTCTTACCGTGTTGTGTGAGCCTGAGTAAATGTGTGGTTCACTCAATATACCACAATTAAGCAAACCATGGTTTAGTGCAATTTCTGAACCCAGCCAGAGTTCTTCTAAATTACATGAGTTCTTAGCATCTAAGTGGGGAAGAGATAAACCAGATCCTCTTGCTCTGATAAGAAGTAGCTCAAATAACCCTCAGGATGGATACCTCTGAAGCTCCAGTGGTGACCTCCTAGAACAGTCTCACACAGCTTTGGGTTGCTCCTGGATGGGCACAATGCCCTGTGTTCTCTTTTTTGGCAACTGAACCAGTTTGGCATCAGATGTACTGGGGCTTAGGAGCGCAGTTTCCCACTGGAGGGACTCTAAAATTACACCCACCTCCTAGACTTTCCATAATCCCCACAGAGCTTAAGGTACCAGAGTTCCATGCTGCCCTTTCAGCCCCCTGGTCTACCTGGCCAGGGGGGCTGCCATTTCGCAGATCTCCTACCCAGCGACTAGTCCCATTTTCCAAAACATGACTCAACCTGAAGAAAGGACAGGAACCCAAGACAGAGCCCTGTCTGGACACCCATTTTTGCAATCTCCTTAGCAATCAGCTCTTGACAATGCTGGCTCTTAGAATTGCAAAGTGTCTCAAAAATTATTCTGAGTTTAGAGCATGAATGTGGCAGCTGGGTGGAAGTGCCCATATTCCTGATAAAGAATTGCAAATGATGTGATGCATGACTGAAATAAATATGAATTCTTCTTCTTGTGTTTAGCCTGATTTTCCTTTTTCCTCTTCATCTCCCCTCTGACAACTTGTAGTCTGTAAGTTCTTTGGGGCAGGGACATTTTCTCTTTGTGAAGTGTAAAGCACAGAGACATATACAGC